GTATTTTCTAAATTTTGAGTAAGTTTTGCAATTATTTTTTTAAATATTGCGAATATTTTATGACAGTGTATTCAGGTAGTATCAATAATAATAAAATGCATATTTCAGCGCACTTAATTGCAGTAATTATTTAAAATAAATTTCACTAAATTAAGCTTAACAAAAAAACCAGCTTTCTCTCCTGGGTACATATCGCTGGTTCAAAACTAAAACGACACTTCTACACTCACTTCTCATGTTATTTGAATGAGAAGTGAGTGCAGAAGTGTCGTTTTAACTTTGAACCAGCGATATGGCTTAACGCTTTAAGCAGAAAATCTCAACATATAAAAAATATAAGTAATGACGAATTAAAATAAATGAAATTAATAGATTTTATTTTAGGTTTCATGTCTAGAAAATATAATTTAGGTCATATAACATAGGTATTAACATAGTATCATAGGAGGTTTTTAACATAGTATTAATGTATAAAGAAATATAGAAAATGTAAACACATAATAAAATGTACGTAATGAATTTAAAAAAAAACGGGTTTAACAGATTTTATCTAAGGTTTCATGTGCAGAAGATATAATTTAAGTGAAATAATGGAAACTAAGAACGCGTGTTTCAAATTATAAAAGTATATTTTTCATACTTAGGGAATGCAATTTAATTAATAACTTCAAAACAGAAATTATTAATTAAAGGATTAAATAGAATTTTCGAAAATAAATAAAAAAAAAAGGGGGGATGAAGAAGAAACAAATCCAAACGTTGTTGAATCGATGCATCAAATGACTTAGTTTAAGTTATTAATTTTTTTAATTTTTGGGAAATTGTTATTGTTATGCGCAGTTCTGGTTAAGGAAGTGGGGGAAAAAATCCGAAATATTTAAAATAATTTTTGATGTAACGATCGGGTTTTCGAGTAACAGATGGCAAATTAATTAAAAGAAAGGATTAATCAAGTTATGAAAGCAGACACAAAACAGTAAATCCTCTGAATAAATTTCTGGAAAACTAATTTCAATTGCTTAGCTTGGGGCAGCAGGCAAAAGTTTAAGCTATATTTTTTTAATTAATTTATCTTACAGCATTATTTATTATAATGATATAAATAATACGCTTTAACACACCAAGTGCTAGTTCTAGCTTTCTCCGAACTTCCAATTAGTAGCGTTTCTGTACAAAAAAAACTAGTTTTCTCCACGTGGAGAAGGCAGCTGGGTAATTTCAGAACAATTCTACCCAAATGCTCTACAATTAATTATTNTTTTTTTTTTTTTTTTTTTTTTTTTTTTTTTTTTTTTTTTTTTTTTTTTTTTTTTTTGTAGAACGAGCTAGTTTCAAACCTACTATAAAAATTAATATATCACAAAACAAAAAAATAATAATAGTTTGCTGAAAATAGAGTACAATAGTGACAATGGTGACGCATAACCCGCTCAACCCTTATACAGAAGTTATGAGATAATTGCGAAGAAACATTTCATTCACGTGAAAACCTTAGTCTATTGTTTTATTCAGTTTATTGAAATTATTTTGTTTTTTCAGTTTGTACCAGTTTTAAAGTTTTTATAAAAAACGTAAAATAGGCACACATAAGAGGTTTTTTAGAATGTCTTATATGAAATTTCTTCTTTTTTTTCTACTTTTCGTGAATCGAACGAAACATCTCGTATTTAAGATACCCTCGTTATGTTATCTGTCGTAGCTTACCTCAAGCACGTGATAACACGAATGTTTGTTGAGCCGTTGCAGAATCTGACTGAAATTACGTTTAACCAGTATATTATTTTTTATGGATCTATGAACTGCATATTTCTAAGCCCTTAGAATATTGTATTTCATATCGAATATAACAGTACCGATAGCATCGAATTTAGAGTTCAATGTATTTTTTTCAGCATTGAATATAGCGTTTAAAGACCGAATATGGATGAAATGTGCGAAACTAGATTAAATTATATGGGGAAAAAACTTGCGATAAATCATTGCGCTTTTAAACTATGCTCAATATTCTACCTAAAACAAAAGAAAAATAAAGAGGTAACAAATAAAGGAGAAAGTTTACTAGAGTGCTTAGGGAGTTTCATCTTTAATGGTTTCTTTGATGGTTTACAAGGTCCAATAACATAATCTCAAACTTTCAATTTTGATATAAAAGATTTTCGTAATAGTTACGATAACTATTACGATCAAAACTAATTACGTTCGTAATAGTTTTGACGCAAGTGCCAAAACTACGCTTCACACTAAGTCTGTGTTAAAAATCTGATTTAAATTTTTTGAAGTATCTAATGTTTTCAAATCCTCAAGAAAGTGATCATACATACGTGATGATACGGTTCTCCTTTCATGGCCCAAGGTTCCATATTTGAGACGAAACTTTTTGACACCAGCAGTGCATGATCACATGGACGCGTTTTCAATTTGGAACGTTTTATTTCAATTTTTAAACAACAAGCGGTGGGGAAAGTCCGTTATAACTTCGGAAAAAATCTCAGAGAGTTGGCCTTCCTTCAATATGAGCTTTCGGTTTCATGTTTGTTTTCTTATCTATGAAATTTGAACATATTAACAACTACCGTGTTTGGCTCTATTTAGAGTCTTAAAAACGGAATTTACTAAACACTGGATTTTTGTTTACATTTTGTCTGAGTGAGAAGCGTTTGGAATGCTTATTGATTTATAGGGATGTAGACTTGTTTTTATGCAATTTGTGGTTTGCTAGATGGTATTTTGTAAATTTTGGGTAAGTTTTGCAATTATTTTTTTAAATATTGTGAATATTTTATTACAGTGTATTCAGGTAGTATCAATGATAATAAAATTTATATTTCAGTGCAATAAATTGTAGTAATTATTTTACATAAATTTTCACTAAATTAGGCTTAACGAGAAAACCAACTTTCTCTCCTGAGTACATATACTCTCGGATCGTATGGATCTGGGAAAGCATTTCTTTCTCCTTTCGCCAGACTTGAACAAGTTAAATGTTGCTATCTAGACAAATTAGGTATTGTTTTCTGTGCATTTTTTATGCTGAATAAAGTAGTTGAATTGATATGATAGATAATCAATAGCATTTCGGTATGGTCTGTCACCTAGCAAAATAAATAAATGAGGAAAATCTCAATTAAACTTTTCTTTATAAATAAGAAAATTGGATCAAGATAGCTTTACACAAAATGACAGAGCCATTGCCTTACCTCTTCACTAACCACTGCGTAACAGAGAAGCACTTAGCTATCATCTGATACCTTATTTGCGTATAAGCGTTACTGATTTTCTTTAAAAAAAAAAGTTTAAGAAGGAAATCCCTCCATTTAACTGTTTCCATCAGTCTTTTACGTTCTTCGCCACGAAACATGCTAAAAGTGTTGCTCATTTAGCCTTTACGAGCAATATTACCCACTCCCCACTGTCCCAGTTACCTATCCACATTCGAACAACAGAGGACAAAGGTAGAAAAAACACAACAGCGGACAAAGGGGTAGAGAGGGAGAAAGACGTTTAATGTCCTGAGTGGGTTTGAACCCACGATCATTGTCCAAGTCAGGTACATTTATCGCGCTGCCACATAGCTTGAAAACAGCACTTTATAAACAATTTTTATCTAAAGTATAACTCTTATTTTATCAAAACTATGATATTGGATATAACGTTCTTCTTCGACTTTATTTAAATCATTCTCATTAATAATATGATTATCGTTAAAGTTTATTGCAATGTGTGAATTCATATTTAAACTGCTAAAAATCAACGAACAAAAAAGAAATATTAAATTACGTCTTTCATGTTGTTCCGTTGTACGAAAATTTATTTAATAATAATATATATAAAACTTGATCATATTGAAAACAAAGTAGTCGATATTCAATAAATAACTGATGCAAACATTACGAAGAACTAGAAGTTTTTCTCAGAGAAATAAGAAAGAATTAAGTGGTTGTCATGGAAACTCTTGAGAATGCCAAACAAAGTTTCACGAGAATAATAAAGCAATAAATTTATAAACCAAAGCATTTGAATATAGAAAATTCTTACTTCAATTTAATGAAATTTCAATTTGAAATGCACGAAAAATAAAATAATAGTTTTATGTGTATTGTTCATAAAATTATTTACATGTATCGAAAATTTTATTCCTTCGTATATTTTAAAATATTTAGATTCTTTTCTTTTTAAATTGATTCAATGAATCATGTTACAAATTAAAAACTGGTTTAAATGAGTATTAATTCTTGAAACATTTTTAATAAGAAAAATTTTGTTTTAGTTAGTTACTCTCTTAAGAGAACATATATGTGCAGAAAATAACTTGTTATATGTGAAAAATGAAACTTTAAATCATTAATTATATATTATAATTATAAAAAAATTTGGAACATAATTACAAGTGATGTTTATGAGAGGACAAATTCTAGTAAATTATCATTTAAAAAGGATAAATTATATTAATAAATCATTTCACAAACATCAGTTTTGATCTTTATGATCTATGGACTAAATAAAAAACATTATTTTTTTTCTTCCATTTCTGTATAGCATTGTATAATTTGTGGTGTAGTTATATTTTCTAATGCTATGTTTATGAAAACTATTTATATGCATTTTTGATTGAAAAAAAAGTTATTTAATATGGTATAGGGTAATAGAGTATATATTTTATTTGCTCCTTGACTTGTTAAACCAGTTTAGCTAATGAGCGTTATCGAATTAAAATAAAATTATTTATTTTTGTTTAAAACTTACTTTGACTGTGAGAGTATTAAAATTAACAGACTGAAAATTCTAGAATATCAACAGCTTGAGGAATATATTTAATAAAGAAAAATTACATAATTAATTCGAAACTTCAACTAAAATTTATGTCATACACAGTCATATACACAATAAAGGGTTAATGTCTCAATTTCAAAATCAATAATTGCATACTATAATTATAAATTAAAATCATCAATTGCAAACTGATCGTTTCTTTTACTTTAACAAACTTTATTCTCTTTTAGATATTCTTGATAACAAACAAACCCTGATCATCTGAAAAATTAATTTCATTGTTTGGAAGGAAATTCAAAGGCATCCCAATGAAGTCTAATAAGCATGGAACATCCTGGTAAATGTTATTCTTTGATAGCTTTTCACTTGATTCACTTTTGAATACAAAACATTGTTGATTTATCTTGTTTATTTTTCTTAATTTTTATTGCAATGCATTAGTTATTGCAATGCATAGTAGTCAATTACATTCATTCTATATATTAAACTGAGTAGTTTGTATTCGACAATACTGTCTGCTTGCTGATTGCGTTAATAACTGGCTTGAATCTACAGCACAAAAACCAGGTGCGATTAGGTAAAGCTATACTCAGCCATTTCAAAAGCGCAAAATCTAAATTTCGACGATTTTAAATTATTATATGCTATTTAGAATGAATCTAGAATGATGCAAAATTTACTCCTCTGACGTAAAGCATTTTAAGTTGGTAAACATAGAAAACATACCTATTTTTATATTAAATCTTTCAATCATTGAAATTTTCAATATTTTTAAAAAGCAAATAGCAATAAGAAAAAAACAGTCATGGGCATGAAAAATATGAATTGTAATCAGTCTAATATATAATTAATTCAGGACGCAATTCTACATTTCGAGGAGATATGAAAAATACTCGCGAATTTTACAACTTATAATATAATAAAAAATGTTATTTTTCGTTATTTACTACATGTACTTTAAATTCTAGAAAATTAAGAATAGCTTAACTATCGAATAGTTCACTGGAAAAAAATAGTTTTTTAATAAGAAAAGTCCAGGACGAAACAGATGTGAAATTCACATCTAATGGATCTTAAGCGCCTTAGTTTTGAGCTCTCGGAGCATGAAAAGAATATATTTGCTTTTTCAAACCAAACATAGGCTCAAAAACATCCAAACGCGATAAATTAAATTTAAGATAAGTTATGAGTTGAATGATTGTCATAATATACTTTTTTAGTAATGTTTTTGCTCATATTCTTGTTATATATATACATGATTTTGAAATTTTTTCTTTTAAGCGACTAGGACCTAATATTTAACCAATCAGAGTAGAGCAAAATTTTCCGACTCCGGCAAAAAAGTTTCTGATTCCAACTCCACAACTTTGCCCAGGACCCAAAAGATGTGAAACTCTGTTGGGTCTTAATCTGTCGAGTCTAATGGGCTTTAAACGCCTTTGTTTTAAACATGACGACCATTACTTACTAACTTATCCTCTACGTGCCTTTGGGCACTTAAGGCCTCTAGCATATCCCTCCAACGCCTCCTGTCTCTAGCAATAGATCTTGCTTCCTCCCAGCCAGATATTCTACATTCTTTTAATTCGCCCCAAAACATGCGCTGGTTGGTAAGTCTGGGTCTTCCTCTTGTTCTTTTACCATCAGGGGCCCATGTAAGCGCAACAGATGTAATTTTTTCTTTGGGCCTTTGTAAAACGCCTTTGTTTTAAACATGACGACTATTCCCACCTACATATTTGAANAGAATATCAAGCCGATAGTCAATATCACGCCAGGTAGCGGCAAGCATGTCGGCATCCACACAGACTCTTAGTATGTAAGTATGTATGTCTATGTAATTCTGGCTTGAGGAGCCTTCGTCCTTAGTATGTCTATGTAATTTTGGCTCTTAGGTCATCAATGTTCGACACGATCCTCCTGTAAACATTGTCTTTTATAAATCCCTAAAGAAAAAAGTCCAGCGGCGTTATATCAAGTGATCTGGGTGGCCAAGGAATTGGACCTCCTCGCCCAAACCATCTTCCTGGAAAATGGTCATTCAAAGAACTACGAACGATGATACCCACATATACCTTCGTATTCGATGATACCTTCGTATTTCGACAACTAGAAGAGCTTCAGTCTTTTTGCAACAAGATGGTGCACCACCTCATTGGGGTATCATAGTTCGTAAAATTAAGAATAGTTTATCTATCGAACAGTTCATTGGAAAAAAATAGTTTTTTAATAAGAAAGGGCCAGGACGAAACAGATGTGAAATTCACATCTAATGGATCTTAAGCGTCTTAGTTTTGAGCTCTTGAAGCTTGAAAAGAATATTTTCGCTTTTTCAAATCAAACATAGGCTCATAAACATCCAAACACGATAAATTTAATTTAAGATAAGTTATAATTTAAATGATTGTCACAATATACTTTTTTAGTGATATTTTTGTTCATATTCTAATTATATATACTTGATTTGGAATTTTTTTCTTTTAAGCTACTAGGACCTAATATTTAACCAATTCGAGTAGAGCAAATTTTTCCGACTCCGGCAAAAAAGTTTCTGATTCCAACTCCACAACTTTGGCCAGGACCCAAAAGATGTGAAACTCTGTTGGGTCTTAATCTGTTGAGTCCAATGGGTTTTAAACGCCTTTGTTTTAAACATGACGACCATTACTTACTAACTTATCCTCTACGTTCCTTTGGGCACTTAAGGCCTCTAGCATATCCCTCCAACGCCTCCTGTCTCTAGCAATAGATCTTGCTTCCTCCCAGCCAGATATTCTACATTCTTTTAATTCGCCCCAAAACATGCGCTGGTTGGTAAGTCTGGGTCTTCCTCTTGTTCTTTTACCATCAGGGGCCCATGTAAGCACAACAGATGTAATTTTTTCTTTGGGCCTTTGTAAAACGCCTTTGTTTTAAACATGACGACTATTCCCACCTAAATATTTGAAGCTAATAAAGTTTTTCTATTATCAAGTGTACTTTTTAAATATTTCAGAATCACTTGAAACCTCTTTAATTTCATAAATTTGTTCGCAGAGCCTTCTGATGAAAGCCCATCGGAGTTGAGACCATGCGGAATATGTGGAAGGACTTTCCGCCCTGATGCCTTGGTAAATTTTCAAAAATGAATTTAAATATTTGCCTTGTTTTTGAATTCCACATTGAAATTTAGTTACTTAATATACATGTATTAAACTAAAAACTATTAAATGTAAATTTAATTTTGTAAACATTATATAGTTTTTTTAATTAAGTACTTACTTAAACAACTATCAATTTGAAAAGTTATACTTATTTCATAGACAGGCGATTATCTAACATATAGATATTTCAGTTTTCAATTTTGATGTCTGTTTCTCAATTTTGTATAGTTTTTCTAATTAAATATTTACTTAAACATCCATCAATTCGAAAAGTTGTACATAGATTGACGAATGTCTTGCGTGTAGATATTCGGAAATTTTAGCAGCCAAAATATTTTGTGAAAGAAAGAAAAACCTTTAACTCTTTTTATACAAGTTTTAAAATATAAAATAATTATTTTTGAGAAAAGAAGTAAATCACGGAAATTTAAATAGTCAATTAAAGAATTGACATTCTACTCACTAGGACTTAGCTTTTTGAACTCTAGCTTAATATATTCCATTGCTCGCAGTAATAAACAGTCATTTTAATTTTATAATGATAGATTATAAGAGTGTAATGATAGTTTTAATGCAAACAATGCAATGACACTATTTTCCGTTTCTAAGTCTGTTAAGTTTTAGCACAGATTATAATTAAGGAGCCTTCGTCCGTTATTTTNAAGTTGGAGCTATATTTCTGAGATATTGAACACACAGATTATAATTAAGGAGCCTTCGTCCGTTATTTTCTCTTTTTTCATATTGTATAAGTAAGAAAACAATCTGTATTTGTTTGGATATTCATCACTAGACTCATTTTTTACTGCTAAAAGCTAGTTTAAACAATGAAATAACAAATTTTATCTCAATAATGCGATGATAATTTTAATCAAAGCAATTCAAGGACAGTTTATATCAAAACAATGGTAGCCTTAATCAAAACTTTAGGATTTAATCTAAATCATAAGCTCCGTGAAGACTTTTAGTGGGGCGTAAGAATTTTCTTCAGAATAAGTTACAAGTTAGAGAAAAAAATTATTATTATTATATATTGAGTACACTCATTATAAAAGTTTGTATACTTATATTTATTACTATATTGTTTGTGTACTTTAAATCTCATCAATAGACTCATATTTTTACATTTAAACCATTTTATATGTTAAGAGCTAGTTTAAGCAATGAAATAACAAATTTTATTTCAATAATGCGATGATAATTTTAATCAAAATAATTGAAGGACAGTTTTAATCAAAATAATGGTAGCCTTAATCGAAACTTTAGGATTTAATCTAAATCATAGGTTAAATCATCTGTCTGTCCAATTTCACCGAAACATCTGGTGTACTTTTCGATTTCATAAAATACAAATTTTTTAATAAAAAAGAAATACCAAATTTTTTGATTCGATTAACTTAAGATAATCTTGCCTTTCAAATTTCCTTTTATAAACTTTGGATTTAAGATTCTTAGCTTAAGAAATATACCTGTCTGAATTGATTTTGAAATAACATCAGTGTACTGAATAGCATGGGTGACGGATCGAAAGTTGATCTTGAATCGCAACACTTTTTTATGAAACTATATAAAATATTAAATTAATGTTTATTAAAAATATTGTTTGAATTTTTTAATTCGAACTGCAAGATAATAAATTTATTTTTTGAAAGCTCATTTAAGTGTAGTATATCTTCATACAAATTGATGTAAAATAATTTTTCTAATATGAATGCACTGGTCGATAGTGATTTGTATGATGCATCTTTCCAAATAGTAAATTCATAAGGGTGTTTTTCCGAAAATATTAAAATTAAAAAACGGGGGGATATGAAGAGTATTTTTTTCTAGGGGGCGTTGAAAATTCTTTATAAGTGGTTGTGTACCAAAAAAGAACCTATGATCTAAACTGATTGATCACTGATCGATTTAACATAGAAATGGCAGTTTTATTTTAAATAATGTAGTTTTAAATTCAATTTTAAAAAATCGAAAGTGGTTTCAACTTAAGCAATGCAGTGAACACTTTTACATTTCAAAATAGGTCTTAGTTTAAGCACACATTGTAGCAATGGTATCGACTTCTTTCCCTGCTTAATAAATAGACAGGCAACGAATAACTATTTGTCAACCACAGAAATGTTATCAGAGGAATATTTTATCACTCCAACAAATTTTGATAACTTCTACGTCAAGAGTGTGTGCAGTGTGTGCACTATGTTGATTTTATTTCCCTAAACATTAAAAGCTGCAGTCTTGTCAAAAATATATTGTTTAAACTTTTTTTTTCCGTTTACTACCAATTGAAAAAAATTGAAAACTATTTATTTCTTGTCAAAGGTACGACATCAGAAAGTCTGCGAGAAAAACGCGGCAAAGAAACGCAAAGTATTCGATTCTTCCAAACAACGAGCACTTGAAGATGCACCACCACCAGCACCTAAAGCAGCAGCGAAACCGACAAAGCAAGTTGCTGCGAAGGCAAAGGTAGGAATTTAAAAAATTAAGACTAACTAATTTTTTTCAATACATTACATATGTAACACGTCAACATATGTAATGATACTAATCTATTTTTTGGGGTTTATTATATGTTTAACAACTATTTACGCTCTGGTAATTTTTTTAATCATTCAAGATATCAATATTGCTATATTCTGGTGCATAATGCCTTCAGCACACCACCCAACCATGACCAAGCTCCTAGCCTCATTGCAGGAATACCACCTATTTATGACTCTGGTCAGATGACACGGACAGTGCCTGTGCTGGTACCAGCCTCTCTAAACGTCCCAATCACAACCAGTGATGGGCTTTCACAACCAGTGACTTTCATACTCTACTGACTTATCTTGATGAGTATCAATGCTGATTATTCAGTTACATGAATGACAGGATCGAACTCATGAACCCCGGCTCTATATCAACGAAGTGAGCAATGCTTTTTCCGACCACGTAACTGGTGCTCCTAGGCCCTCAGAATATCTTCTCTCCCTTTAATTCTGTCCTTTATAACAGACCTGGCCTGTTCCCATCCAGAAATCCCTAATATTTTTAATTGATTTCACAAAATGCGTTGTAAAGTAAGTTCTTGTTCTCCTATTGTTCTTTTTTCTTCTGAGACCCATGTGAGAGCAACAGGTGTTATCAGTATTGCTAAACAGGTAAATAAAAATAGAGATATGAGAAAAAAAATATAAAAAGTCTCGTTTTCTTCCTGGTAAATCGAATTTAATTTTTAAAAATCTAACCAAAATTTAAAATACAACCATGCAAAGTGATACACCACCACCAAATTGTAGTTTTTTGCATAAATATTTAAACAACCTGTTTATTATTTAGAGGAAAGTCATTTAGATAGGAAATAAAATTATTTTAAAAAAATTTCAGTTAGAGAGCCATCTGTTAAGCAAAATGCATAAACTTATAACTCAAATAGGCTTAGGTATTTCTGGAGAATCCAAATCTGCAATAAAAAATAGGGGTTAATATTTAGGATTACAAAGCTGCTCCCCTCTTGCCCCCAGACCATTTAAAAAAATATTGAATGCGTTCAGCTTCACTTTCTCGATTCAATACATATTTCTAGAGATATTTGACAGTTTCCTAACTTTTTTTACACTGAGTATATTCATTTTGATTTTTGGATCATGAAGACCTAATTTCTCTACTTTTTTTTCTAGGCTGCCGAAGCTAAGACTAATCAAAAAAAGAATACTTGGAGGGAGAAGCATGAAGAATTGATAGATACCATAAAGAAAGCTCGGGGGAAGCCTGAAGATAACCCCCCACCCGGAAAAGAAAACCGTAAAAAAGTACCATCAGGTTCGTGTACTATAATACTATTGTTGGCTGAATGTAGAGCTTAATGGTTCATGAGTAGGAAGCGGCTGCACTGTGCAAATTATAAACGTCATTACTAACTCAACTTGATTAAATTAAACGGTGTTATAAAATAAGAGACAGTTTTTTAACACTGTCATAACGTAATAATGAAAAAGAAATAGAACAATACTAGCAGCTTTTGCCGATCAGTTTATTCACCTTAAAAAATTTTCTTGAATAACGCATAAAATTTAATGGTAATATCAAGCCAAATGCCGGGCACAACTGAATTTGAATATTCTAATTCTTCAACCTCTTCGCCAAACCTAATATCTTAATTAGTTATAAATATCATATTAAGCAAACTTTTTCACTGTTATGAATGAAATTTTAACAGTAAGTTAAACTATGTCCAACAGCCATTCAATCACACACACGTACATTTATATATTATTTATTTATTTACGATCAATAAATCCTTTAGGATTAAAAGTAAATAGTTTCGAAGAATAATTTTTTCAGTTACTAAAATATCTGTTATAATTACCCCCTTAAATATGAAGATATTTATTTTCGACTTTGTCAACCTTTATCTATCAATTGATACCTCTAAATGAAATTAAAGATAACATGTTTTATATACTAGTCATTTGGTATTTAATATTTGTAGTGGTAGTTACGCCACAAATAATTACTCTTTTTCTTAATTAGCAATACGAATCCCGAGTTTATTCAACTAAATACGAGGGTTGTCCATAAAATAAGGTTCCCAAGAAGCTGCGGACGTTAGGATCGCTGTTAAGCGGGGTTTGGTGAGACTGGCGTGTAGCTTGGCTCCCTTTCCCCAAGTTCCCGCTCCGGCGAGCTATGTACAACGTTAATTCTAGTCTTGGTAGCCTTGAAAGATAGCTCTTCCATTTGTTTCTCACGCCAGGTGCGAATTACGCTCTGGGATTTGTTTTTGTGTGCAAAAAACGTTCCTCCGGTGGACATTCATTCCCAACTGTGTAAGGCGCACGGGGAAAAGTGTATGAGTGTGCAACATGTGCGCAAATGATGCAGAGAATTCAAAGACGGGCGTACAGACGTCCATGACGAACAACGTTCTGACCGGCCATCGTTTTCGGAAGAAGTGATTGCAAAAGTGGAAGAAGCAATGCTGAAAGATCGAAGGGTGACGATTCGGGACCTCAGCAAAATGATCCCTGATGTCAGTAAGTCCTGCATTCACAACATTTTGAGAGACCGCTTAGGATATGCCAAGGTTTGTGCAAGGTGGGTGCCGAAAATGCTGACGGATGACAACAAACGGATGACAATAAACAAATTTCCTCATGCCTACGAAACAGATGGCGAGGGATTTTTGGACTCTGTTGTCACTGGGGACGAGACCTGGGTCCACTACATGACACCGGGAACAAAAGAACTATCCTGTCAGTGAAAACATCCAGGCTCGCCGAAGCCGAAGAAGTTTAAGCAAATTCTGTCTGCCAGCAAAGTGATGGCGAGTGTCTTTTGGGACAGGAAAGGGTTGCTGTTGTGCGAATTCCTGCCTACCGGCACAAGAATTAATGCGGATCGCTACTGTCGGACGTTGAAGAACCTTCGGTACGCGATTCAAAACAAGAGGAGAGGCATGCTCACAAATGGAGTGCGTCTCCATCAGGACAACGCTCGTCCACACACCGCCCGTGTCACAACTGATCTCATCAACACATTTGGGTGGAATACTGTCACCAACCCTCCCTTACAGCCCAGACTTGGCCCCCAGTGATTACCATCTCTTCCCTGAATTAAAGAAACACTTGGGACGGACGCATTTCACAACCGACGAAGAGCTGAAGGAAGAGGTTTTAAGCTATCTTCGCGGCTCGGCGGCAGATTTCTACGACTGAGGCATAAAGAAGAGGGTACACTCTATGTGAAAATGCATTGATCTTAACGGCGATTATGTCGAGAAAAAAAGGGAAGACTAAACTTTCCAAACATGTATTATTCAATGCCAATAAACATGTTTTTCATTGCGAAAATTCGCTGGAAACCTTATTTTACGGACAACCCTTGTATAAAAAAATAAAAACTATATCAAAATAGTAAACTTTTATAATAGTAAACTTTTATAAAACTGTCTGGCCAAACACCTTTTCAGTATAAAAATTTTTGACTGTCCTAAATGCAAACTCTGTCACCTTGGGGAGGACATGGACCTGCCCCATATTTCCGTCTGTCCTGCGCTCATCTCCACTACTGTGCGTGGACGCTACTGGGAGGCTAGGGCCCGTACGGGTCTATTTATCTCTTTTTGCCTTGTTTTTCTTGTTATTTTATCCTTTTTATTCTTTTAAATTGGCCTGCCATTGGAAATTTAAAAAAAGTAATATTATTTCCTTAATACAAACCTAAATGCTTTGAAAAGGTTCTGAAAAACACAATCAAACTACAAATATTCAAACTCAATTAATCAGCAAAGTGCATGTTCTCAACGAAATTTCATATACTCGTGAAGTTTTATCCCTGTTAATTTTATAAAAAAACAGCCTTAATGTTTTATGGAGTTATTCAAACCTATGGAAACTAAAACTAAGTAAATATTTTCTTCGGTTATCCGATTTTCCCTCCAGTTTTAAAAAATTTTTACTTGCAAGCTATCGTGTGATACACATTAATTTTTAAATCATTTATGGTCATGACAAATTTTTGTTTGGAAGACATGAAAACCTGTCTTCATGTAGATAATTACTGAAAATTAAATAGTTTTACTAGATAATCTCTTTTTTTTAAACTAATGGAATTCTTTTCTTCTTCAGATTACGTTCAGTGCCCATCTTGTCAAAGGCATTTCAATCAGCGGGCTGCTGAACGTCATATTCCTTGGTGCAAAGAAAAGAAAGCTCTAACTCCAAAATCAGCAGAGACGACGGATGAAGCCAAACAAAAACTTATAGCTAGAGTAAAAGTATGTTTAGCCAAAGTGTTTCTTAATCTCAAGAAACTTTTGACAATCTTATTTAAATGGAAAAAAAACTAATATCTGGTATCAATGTGCCTGTATGTATTAACACTAGAAAGACTGAAACTTAGTATATACCTATATTGCTCAAAAGCAGTCAAAATGACTGCAAATGTGATAGAATAGCTAATGTGTAAAGAAATTTGTTCTATTAATTTTTAATATTTTTTTGCATTATTTACAGTTATATAACAAATTATTAGTAAATATTAACAATAAAAAATGTATCCATTATTATTTGCATATGCTTTGCAAATGAAAAAAACAGTTAAAAAAAGCAGTTAAAATGATTTCCTTGGGCAATCTAGTGTTAAAGTATGGTAACAATAATATTCAGAGTGCACAATGCGCCAAAAACGCCCTCCTTTGGATACTCAGTATTGTGGTACAAATAGAATATTCTCAGGGATCGATCAAGACAAATTCAGGCCCAAGGCCCCCCAAATTTTCCGGGCTTCTTACAAAATATTTTAAAATTATATTACTGAAGAGTAGTCCTAACAATAAAAAAGAATTTACTGAATTGCATGATTCAAGAGAAACATTCTAAGAAATTTTGAAAGCAAACAATTGAAGATTATTTTTGTAAGATAAAGTTAACGCATCTATAAGTTAAAGCAAAATATCAAAAACAATGTAATATATGCAAAAATAAAAATACTTTGATGATCACAAATGATTGAAATCAGTGATTTTTGCTAAAAGCCACTGATTAGCTGAATTTTTTTTTATTGTAAGCTGTAATTATTTTTTATTTAGTACTTAAACCAACACAAAGCTATCCCACTTTTCATTAAATTTAACGATAAGTTCAGCATGTATGCCAAGATATCAAGGTTATTAATTACAATTTTTATTGAAAAATGCAGTTCAACACAGAAAAAAAATCCAAAAGAGCCAAAATTATATCTAGTCATAGAAAATTAAAATTACATTTAAATAACAATATATTTAGATATAACACATTTTAAAACATTAAAATTCATATTCAATGAAAAAGTTATATTCAAAATATTGATGCATTTAAAACTCTCAATGAATTCAATTAAAACTCTCAAACAATAAATTTAATCAAACTCTCAATGAGAGCAGCTTCATCAGAAACAGGGGGCTCTACTTTGACAATAGAGAAATATTTTGATTGAGAATTTCTGATTTTTTTTTGCTAGATTCATCATTTAAAGCTTGTTTCTTTTCTTTTGAGCAAACTAGATTGATAATTAGGTTTCATGATTCCAAGACTATCTAGTAAATCAAAATTCCAATACTGTCGAACTGTATTAATCAGTTTAAATTATCAACATCAAAGATTGTAGCTCGAAAAGCATATTGCTCTTGTTGACACTAATCATAAGAGACTTTGCAGATGTGCATTCTCAGTGCTTTCGTTTAAGCCGTTTCTGTAAAAATTGCACTAATTGAAATTCAGCTGTACTTTCGAATTTGATTAGTGCAATGTTTATATGAGTTTGGTTGCATCAGGATATAAAGAAAAACTAAACTAAACTCAGCGGCGCCCTAGAGGGCCAAGGCCTACTGTGCCCATCTCAGTTTTCTTGACCTTGGGCTCTGGGGTGCAGAAGCAGATGTTCCGGTCAAGTGGTCAGCCGAACGCGGAACCCCCAGTGTTTAGTTCCCNTATTTGAATATTCTAATTCTTCAACCTCTTCGCCAAACCTAATATCTTAATTAGTTATAAATATCATATTAACCAAACTTTTTCACTGTTATGAATGAAATTTTAACAGGTTAAACTATGTTCAACAGCCCTTAAATCACACACACACGTACATTTATAAATATTTATTTATTTACGGTCAATAAATCCTTTAGGGTTAAAAGTAAATAGTTTTAAAGAATAACTGTTAACAGTAATATATATTTCAGTTGCTAAAATATCTGTTATATTTACCCCATTAATTATGAAGGGAATTTTTTGTCGACTAAGTCAACCCTTCATCTATCAATTTGTACCTCGTGCGATGTGTCAAAATAACGCGTTTTATATACTAGTGATTTGGTATTTAATATTTGTAGTGGTAGTTAAGCCTTAAATAATTATGTTTTTTCCTAATTAGTTATACGGTTCCCCAGTTTATCCAACTAAATATAAAAACTAACTACATCAAAATAGTGAACTTTTATAAAATTGTAGTATTATTATTTCTTTAATACAAACCTAAATACTTTGATAAGGTTCTGAAAAACACAATAAAACAACAAATATTCAAACTTAATTAATCAGCAAAGTGCATGTTCTCAACGAAATTTCATATACTCATGACGTTTTCTCACTATTAGTTTTATAAAAAAAAATTCTTAATGTTTAATGGAGTTATTTAAACCTATGGAAACTAAAACTAAGTAAATATTTTCTTCGGTTATCCGATTTTCCATCCGGTATAAAACTTATATTTGCAAGAAATCATGTGATACTTATAAATTTTTATATCATTTATGGTCATGACAAATTTTTGTTTGGTAGACATGAAAATCTGTCTTCGTGTAGATAATTACTGAAAATTAAATAGTTTTACTAGCTAATCTTTTTTTCTTTTCTTCTTCAGATTACGTTCAGTGCCCATCTTGTCAAAGGCATTTCAATCAGCGGGCTGCTGAACGTCATATTCCTTGGTGTAAAGAAAAGAAAGCTCTTACTCCAAAATCAGCAGAGACGACTGATGAAGCCAAACAAAAACTTATAGCTAGAGTAAAAGTATGTTTACCTAAAGTGTTTCTTAATCACAAAAAATTTGTGACAATCTTATTTAAATGAAAAAGAAAATTAATTTCTGGTATCAATGTGTCTGTGTGTATTAACACTAGAATGACTGAAACTTAGTATATACCTATATTGCTCAAAAGCAGTCAAAATGACTGCAATGTGAAAGAATAGCTAATGTGTAAAGAAATTTTTTTAATTAATTTTTAATATTTTTTCACATTATTTACAGTTATATAACAGTCCCACAGTGGACTGATCGTTAAGACACGATTCCCAGCAGATCACCGAAGTCAAGCATCACTGGCTGCTGTCAGTGTACGGGTGGGTGACCACTTGGATCAGTCTGCGTAGTGACCGAGGGTGTGCGTTATTGGTCCTCGTAAAACTGTTCTACCGTAAAGTGATCTACTTCACGTGCAGGTCGTCGGGCTACCGAAGCGAGGGTGCCATCCCCTCTGCAGAGGATCAAAATTGTGATGGCATGTCTTCGGATCATCCTCGGGGATGTTTCCCAGACCGTCGCCAATAGCCCATTGTGTAGCTCTAGTTCGACGTAAATGAACAACAACAAGTTATATAACAAGTTATTAGTAAATATTAGGAACAATAAAAAAAATTTATTTCACTTGGAAAAAAATTATTTATCCATTGTATATTTTTTGTATATTTATATATTTTGTATATTTTTTGTAAATGAAAAAACAGTTAAAAATAATTAAAATTATTTCCTTGAGCAATATAGTATGGTAACAATAATACTCAGAGTGCACAATGAGCCAAAAAACGTCCTCCCTTGGAAACTCAGTATTGTAGTACAAATAGAATATTCTGTGTTGGATAAATTTTTTTAATAATAGGTTAATTAGTAATGTAACAATAGTTTAATTAGTAATGTAATAATAGTTTAATTAGTAATGTAATAATAGTTTAATCAGTAAATTATAACAGATTTTTTTAAAAATGTAATAATCGATGTTTTCTATGTGTTTGATACGTTTTTTTATATTGTTTTAAATTTTTCAGTACCGTCCACCACAAGGAAAATCGAGAGTCTTAAACAGAAAAACAAAAACAGCAGAATCTAATCATATTTCCAACACCAAACAAAAAACCCCTCCAGAGAGGGAAAAACAGCCACGTTCTTCACCACCTGTACTAGACAACAGGCGATCTCGAAATAGTAGTCTTGATCGAGCGAACAATAATGTGGCATATTCGAATGTGAAGCACAGGTATGACACAAATGTAAAACTTAGAACAGTAAATGAATAAAATTGATGATCCCTTCATATAATGTAAATNGCACTCCAGGGATCATTTACATGCCGCATAATCATACGACATGCTCGCTGAGGATTTTCTGCATCCCGAAAATCCAGTGTCTGGGCCGGGGATCGAATCCGCAGACTTAGGCTCAGAAGGCCGACGACAAACCAAATGCGCCACCCTGCCACATAAAATAATAATCTACAACTGCACATTTTGTGGAATGCTGATAAATAGGTTTTTGGAGAAAAATACCATTATTCCTATGGCTGGTATCTAATCTAATTTGTTTAGTATCTAGCGTAAAATTCTGAAAATTTGTAATTCACCTGAAAAATATGCCAAGGAACAATTTGGTGTAATAATTTCGTGTACCCTTTTAGCTTATCACTATGTTGGACCAGATTTTTATTTTCTCTCGAAAGTAACGATGCATTCTCTGGAAGTTTAAATCCCCGTAGTTAAAAGAAAACAGTCTAGACATAATTTTTGATACAAAAAAATAATAACAAAAAACTGACCTTTAGGAAGGAACTGTATGTTTTGAAATTTTACTGGTAGTATATGATTAACAAGCGATTTACGTCCTAAGCTTTTCATTTCCTCTAGAAAGTAACGATGTGTTCCATGGAAGTTAAAATCCCCGTGGTTAGACGAAAACCACCTAGACATAATTTTTGATGCCCATACCAAGGAATTAACCTTTTTAAAGAGACTGTATGTCTTAAAATTATATTAATAGTTTAGGATTTAAAAGGGATTCCTGTCCCAAATATTTCATTTCATCTAGAAAGTAATCATGCTTTCCCTGGAAGTTAAAATCCCCGTTGTTAGAAGAAAACCACCTAGATATAATTTTTGATAACCGTAACAGCAAATTGACCTTTAGGAAGAGACTGTATGTCTTGAAATTGTATTAGTAGTTAATGATTTTATAAGTGATTCATGTCCCAAACCTTTCATTTCCTCTCAATAACTATGCTTTCCCTGGAAGTTAAAATAAACCATAACAAAGAATTAAAGCCATAACAGTTAAGCCATAACAGGAAGTTAATTAGCCATAACAAATAATTTACCTTTTGGAAGATACTGTATGTCTTGAAATTATATTAATAGTTTATGATTTATAAGTGATTCACGTTCCAAACTTTTCATTTCCTTTAGAAAGTAACTATGCATTCTATGGAAATTTAAATCCCCGTGATTAGAGGAAAACCACCTAGACTTAATTTTTGATACAAATAAACCATAACAAAGAATTGATCTTTTTAAAGAAACTGTATGTCCTGAAATTTTATTAGTAGTTTGATTTATAATTGATTTACATACTTTTTGTAGGAGCGGAAGTAGAAGTAGAGAAAAAGAGCAACTGCTTTCACCGGAGCTTCCTCAACATATCATTAAATTCAAAGAGAGATTTCCAAACCACAACAATAAAAGGTAAAATTTTCACAGTATTAATAAATACAGTATTATTAAGGTAAAATTTTCACTGAGTGGAAATATCTCTGAAAGAGTAGCCAACGATACCTACGTCTTTCAGCTAATGTATTTATGAGATTTTGCATCACTCTCCGTTATGCTAAATTTTTACTTAAAGCCATTCTGTGCAAATGAGAAGACATTTACAGACCAGGAGAGATTGTACCAAACTTATCTATTTGATTCTAAGTTAATAGGAAAAAGAAGAGTTCTAAATCTCTCTAATTCATAAGTTTGTCTCAGAAATAAATTTTATACGAATTATTCGATTTATGCATGTTTCTATAACAATATCTTGAGATTCCGTTAAAAAGCAATGACACAGTCTTCAGAACGACGTTACATGAAAAGTATAACTTCAAATCAGATACCTGGCACTCCCTGAATCAACAGAAATGCCAGCGATGTCTTCCACAAAATTAACTCGGTTTCGAGCCACAAAATTTTCATTTCCCCCTAGTAGAAGTTTATGTTAAATACTCCCGGTGAACCAAACCATCTATATCTTTTACCGCCTGACACAGACATTTCGGATCGAAATACCCATCAACGCCACTAAGATACATTTTGTTGCTAGACTGAACTTGTCTAATCATTTTGAATTTTTATAATCATGTCTTTATACGAATAACATATACGAATTTAAGTTATTTTTTTCGAATAAAATAAAAAAAGGAAATTATTTGTGTAAGTGCTCACACTTTCAATAGCATAAAAGAAATAAAAACTTAATTTTTGTTGCTAAATAAAAGAAAGTATATTTATTAAATATAAAGTCAACAGTATTAATACTCTCTCGTATGAGATTCTCAATAAAAAAAATTAATAAAGAAGTTTTATTATAAGAACATCAAAGGTGTTGCTTCAAATATTTGTACTATAATATCATTTGAGGTCTAAAAACTTAAAAGATTGCATCATTGCACTTACACTGCACATTCTCTGATGTTCTTACAATTGATGGAAGATTTAACAATATTTTGGAATAAATAAATGTTTTACTTCTCAATTTACATTGTAATTGGCTTGAGTATTGTTTGAATTTTGTGCTATTTTTAAAAGTCTCTGCAAAGCTTCCATTTAAAAGGTTAAATGTTGTTTGTTACTTTAAGGAATGTGGATCTGGAAGAATCTTTCACTTCTGAACAGTTACGTGAACTACTCAGTTGTAGCAGAATAACTGATAGAATTCCGAGAACTGTACCAGGAGTCAGATTGACTGGTGGACATCAGTACGAGAAAAATCATAATGATAATTGGAATTCCAGGTAAAAAAATTAAATCAAATCACCATTACTAATTATGAATGCAAACAAATCTTACTTCCAATCAAAGCTCAAGGAGTTTCCTTGTCTTCCAGATTGGTTCAAAATTATAGGGCTACAGAGTAGAACATGAGTAGTCATAAACCCAATATTGGGTCGGCGGCTCAACGACGGTTATAAAATAAAACAAAATCTTACTTTTGGTGCCACGCTGACTCAGGGGATAGAGCGTTCGCCTTCCAATGAGGTGAACCGGGTTCGAATCCCTGCGATGGCTGGATCTCTTCCCGGCTTGCTACCACCACAGCACTGGTGTGAAGTATACTCAGTGGTAGACGAATCATGGGTTAGAGTCCCTTTACCGTCAGGCTAACCGTGGGAGGTTCTCGTGATCATGTCACTCAAATATGGGTTAGTTCCAGCAACAAGTCCTCCACGAAGGAAAATTTCTCCCACTACTTGATCCAAAAGTTCGCTTGTCATCTGGATTAGGTTCAAAATTACATAGCTACGGAGTTGAATTTTGGAAGTCGTAAACCCAAAAATTGGATTGGTTGTTCATCTACCGTTATGATATAAAATCTTACTTTCAAGTTGTGGTGGTTTAGTGGACAGAGCGCTAGTCTCTCAATGAGATGAACCGGGTTTGAATCCCAGCGATAGCTGGTCGATTCGAATTCCACACCCGACTCGCACCAACCACCACAATGGTAAACGTATCATGGATTAGAGTCCTCTGGCCGTCAGGCGAACCATGGGAGGTTTTCGAAATTTTCTTCTCCACGTAACGTAAATGCGGGTTATTTCCATCAAAAAGTCCTCGAAGGTGAATTTTTCCCAATACTTGATCCCTTGTCTTCTGAATATGGTTAAAAATTACAAGGCTACGAAGTTAAACATTGGTTGTCGTAAACCCTTAATTGGGTCTGCTGTACGGCGAAGGTTATAAAATAAAATAAAATCTTACTTTCACAAGTAGCTAGTTAGTTCGTTATTTTCAGGGCAAGGGCCATGAAAGGCAATACCCGGGCTAAAACTAGATTGATATTAGAATGTGTTAAATTAAGGTAAGATATCCAGTGTTTTCAATATAATCAACAACACTTATGGGAGAATCATCATCAATTAAAATTGTTAAGTTATGATAATCACAATCGATATATCAATGCTTTTTAAATTTGTACATAATTGTATCGAATTGTGCTTAATGGCTCGTGGTTCTCTGCAGCTAGTCCTGGTTCATTCAGTAAAAGATGCTTATGAGTTAAACGTGTATGTCTAATACATAATCTGTTAATTAGTTAATTTTTCTGGAGCTATTTTTGGTCCTAAAAGAGTTTAGAAATGTTTTTTTTCATGTAGTTTATTATTGGTTTCATTCTGTCTGCAAGTAGGTATTTAAAGTATTTCAATATCATTTCGCAAAACTGGTGTGAGGAAAATATTGTGCGTGATTTTGCTTAAAAATCAGCTACTTTATTTCCAAGGATTCCAGCATGTCTAGGGATCTAAGCAAACAATATTTTAAAACCTTCATCATTAAGGGTCAGTAACAATCTTACTATACGAATTATTATTGAGTGTGGTTCAATATTTGAATTTTGCAAAGCCTTAACTCAACGTTGCAATTGTATTACAATTAGGACTGCTAGCAAATGAATAAACTTCTAAAAAAATTATTCTATACTTCTATTCTATACTTTCCTAAAATTTTCTATTTATACAATCTTTTAGCCGAAAGAAAAACATTTAAATTATTTAATTCAGCGAGTCACAACTATAAAAAATGCTATAAGGAAAGAGTAATTCCCGTATACCTTAATTCTAGCGTTATTAGTGATGTTTGCAGAGAACAGGTTGAGTAATTTATTTCGCTTGCAACAAACTGGTTGCAGCATCTGTAACCAAAAGTTTTTTCTTACGATGTCAAGTTTAAGTTTCTTTGTTTCTTAAATATTTCTGATTACATTGTTTAAGTGTTTCTAATTATAATTAGTTATGTTTTGCCAAATACATTTAGATTAGTGAATATAGTGCTGAATATAGTGTATTGCGTTATTAATTCTGTTTGCAGCGAACAGGTTGTGTAATTTATTTTGCTTGCAACAAACTGGTGCTATATTATCAATTTTTTAACGAATAAAGTATCTGTAACCAAAAGTTTTTTCCTACGATGTCAAGTCTAATTTTCTTTGTTTTTTAATTATTTCTGATTACATTATTTCTGCTTAAATATTTCTGATTAAATATTAGCTATGTTTCGCCAAATATATTTGGAGAAACAAAAAGCTTTATGGACCAGCTTATTGTATTTTAATTTAAATCTTATGCGCAACTAAACAGAAAGAATTTAGTCCAAACAATTCGAAAAGCAATCCATTGTTGAAATTGTTTTTGTTGTTCCATGCACACCAGAGTTCTAATTTTTGAAATAATTTTTCTTATCAACTTAATATTTATCTTTTTTTGCTAATCATTTCACGAAAATGTTTAAAAAATATCAAAGCCCTCGCTTTGAAAACTCTCATCATAGTCGATTTTCTCATAATAACGTGGTACATTAATTTACCACCATTATTTCAAGTAAAGGTGACAAAAAGGACTGGTGGTTGCCTTTTCGTATTTATAATATTTTCATTTCACCAGATTTTAGAATTTAACAGATATTATTCAATGAATTCATAGGCTTGAAACATTCTGAAATTTAGCAACCACTAAGTAACTATTTTCTTTGTAGAAGCACAGATGTCAGCAGATCTGCATCCAGCAGTGGTGGTTCATCCAATAGGTAAGACATAAAAAGTGTTTTATTAAATTATTATAAAATAATTTTTTTCACTTACAATTGTTACAATAATTGTTGAATGTAGCTTTGCATGATAATAATCATATTCATACAATGCAAAGATCGTTGAAAGATTTTTATCTGAAATGTTGTGACAGGCACAATAAAAAATTGAAGGTGAGGTTGATTCAGAAAATGTTTTTTCATAAGAGAGAAATTCATATTTTAAATCAGAGATATTATTATTAATTTCTTATTTATGTAACATTCTCGAAGACAAATTAACATTTTAATGAATCACTCAAAGTACTTCAAAAATAACTTTATTTCATCTAAACTTATTATTTTTTTCCTTGACAATGTAAAATGAAATGAATAAAGCTAAACAACGTAACGCACATAAGTAACTACGTAAAGTAATAAAGTAAAAAAAAAACGGACATACTATACTTTCTGTTTTATAAACAAGAAACCTTCTCAATGTCAGAGTCAAAATTTTGTGTTTCGACGTTGGGAAAGGTTCTTTTTTGTAGATCCGAATCTGTTGTATGTCCTCTTTTGTGCCATTATTCACGTTGTTTAGATTAACAAAGTAGTATAACTAATCTTCATTAGGAAAATGGAATGGATTTAATTATAATGTCAGAATTCAGTCATGTAACAATACACTTAAAGGTCTGGTTTCTTAGGACAAGCACATTATCTGGGCGTCAGCTGAAAGTTGACGTAGAGCGGACGCCAAAAAAATACCTTTTTGTTAGCTCTGCGTGAGCAATCGGTCCAACGCAGACATTATCTCTAATTGCGCATGCATTAATAACGTAAACAAATATTTATTTTTAATTTGTATTGGTTTTGTTACTGTCGACCAGTGTTTTAGAGAACAAACAATGACTTTGTCCAAGAAGAAACACATTATAGTTGAGCTAAATGACGAGTGCTATGTTTAATGAAGAAGCAATGTTTAATGTCAAAATCAAAATCTTGGCTGATTTCAATCAGCTGTTGGATGTTGTCCGCCATTGCTTCTGTGGTTAACGTCACGTTGTAATACAACTGCAGTTGAGTTGAATGGCAATTGTAGTTCTAGATGAGCGTTCGATGACGTATACTATCAAACTCACAAATGGATCAATCAGAGGTTAGCGCTGATTTCCAGCGGGCGCCGACCTGTCCTAAGAAACCAGGCTATTATTTGTAGAACCGAATCTACCCCTTTTTCTGCCATGATTTGTGCTTTATTCACGTTGTTTAGATTTATTCTTGCGTAACACAAAGTATAACTAATCTTCATTAAGAAAATTAATTGGATTTAATTATAAAGTTAGAACAGATTTAATTAATATACACCTCTTTTTATATCGTCAAATCGTAATGGATTACCGAAAACTTTTTCAAACTCTTTGAGTGGTTTTACTATTCACAAAACACATCAGGTGGTAGATTAACAAACTTTAAATTAAGTTAAAGTTTACAGTAATTATAAAGCCACTGATTGTTGTTCCCATACTTTCAGCTGGAATAAGAGACCTACTCTTCCAGAAGTGTCAAGCAGCGAGCTGCCTGGGACTTGGATGGGTAAAATGTGCTGGAATGGGGATCTGGACCAATCAATGAACTCTAATGGAAGCAGTAGTGGTAGCAGTAACGGTTCTCTTCCACCCTTGAGTAGGGAAAGTAACGATGACACACCATTGAATTTCTATTGCCATCAGTGCAATAGTAAATTCCCCCTTATTGGAGCTAAATACTGTTGTGAATGTGGTGCGAAGAGGAGAGGGCTCTGCATAAACCAAACAGGATAGAACTCCTTAAACTAATGTGTTTGCGAACCAAATGTGTCAAACTGAGAGGTTAAGTTTTGTAACATGTGACTTAAACAGTGTGAGCTCGTTGGATTTTACGACAAAGAAATGGAACAAACTATGTGAAAGATATTTAGTTGCTACAAAATGTAAAGACATACTTCAGAAAATGTGTATAAAGAAGTCGAAAGCAAAACTGAAACAACTAGTTCGAAACTATGAACAGTTTTAACTATACTATTTAGTTCCTTGATGAAAGAAATATTACATATATCACTAGTAAATGCAGCTATTTCATGCAAACTTTTGAAGCATGTTCTCCTGACAATGATTTAATAAATAAGACGGTGCATATCAAACCCAAGTCCACACTAAATGATTTTGAGATTATCTGGGTAAAAAATTGATTTTAACGCTTAAAGAACATGCCTTATAGATTATTTCAGTAGCTTTAAAAATTATACTGCTGGGAAACTTTTAAAATTATAGTTTTTTTTTACACTGACATAAAATTATTTGTCAAAAAAAGCATTTTGTAAAAAAATTATATGAGTCAAAAATATCTTTAAGATATTTCTGGCTCATATAAATTTTCATAAATTTTCGCATTTGTCACTAATAGTGACAAATGCGAATGCGTAAATATAACTTTATTCGAATTCCTAATAAAAAAAAAAACTTTTGTAAAATTGCATTTTCAAATTGTTCCTCCTCCTTGGAGACAACTGACAAAAGAATTAAGTAGATAAACTACTATGGGGTAGATATGTAAGGTACATCCCAGAAAAAATCTCCAAGCATAATTAATTTTTTGTGTACTTTCAAAGTTTGATATGCACTTTTAAAGTTTTTGTCATAAAAATTAGATAATTATGTGACCTATAATTATGTTATCTAAACTAAAAAATAACCTGAACTGAAAGAAGTCTTAATCTAAATTAAAACATGATTGAACTGTAATTGAAACTAATTTGTTTATTATTGAAACTAATATCATATCCATTTATAGTTTTAAATTGTACATTTATCTTGAAGTTGAATAAAGACAAAAAATAGTAATAAAAAGCCTTTTTGTATTTTTGAAAAACATTAACATAGGTCTTGCATCTTCACTATAAAAGTGGTAGTCAAATACAAATTATCTGGCAATCTGGCATAAATTTTTTAAAAACCAATCTATTTTGCCAGTACTTGAGAATACTGCTGCGTAACTAGCATAGGTATTATATACATATGTTTAAATTATAGATTTGAAACAACTGTTAAAACAACTACTTTTAAATCAAAGATTATATTATATTATACATTAAAGCATAAATATTGCTACTCAGGTGTATGCCATTGATAAAGGTTTCGCTCACTCTGCTGCTGGAGAGCTGGAGGTTGTGAGTTCAACCCTGGCAACCAATTAAATAACCGGCGTGTATCTGCAGCAAGGTATACATTAAATCGGTCATGATTTGGAGTGAGGGGATAGATTAAAATCTTTTAAGTTAGGAAAATAATGGAACTGAAAACTGCATTAAACATAGTTCTAAAATGAAGCATCATAGAAATTAAAAAAAAATATATATTTTTAGGAATTAAATACCAAAGTTTTAAGAAAAGGATAAATATCATAGTACATTCCTAGACAACTGAAAAGAGCAGGAGGAGGAAGGGCTAAAGGCATGGAAACGATCTTTTCCCCAGATGGCGTATTCGAGCGTTGCGATCGCCTATAGTAGGCACTACAATTGTAAAATGACGCGCTTTTTTCATCTTAGGTGTTAAAGTTAATCGGAAGTAGTAACCCGGAGGTCTTACGGCGAATTTTAACGCCCGGCGTCATCTGTGCTTATATTTACGAGGATAACCTTCTTCTTCTTCAGCACGACAGCCCCTTACAGGCCCTGGCTGCCTCAACCACGCGTAGCATCTAACGCCTCCTATCCATGGCGACTTTTTTCCAGTTGTTAATGTTTATTACTTTGAGATCTTTAGCAATATCATCCAGCCATTTAGTTGGAGGTCTTCCTCTGGCCCGAGATCCAGAAGGATTTTTCAAGGTGGCGATTCGTACTGCATTGTTTTCTGGAACTCCCCAGATATGGCCAAGCCATCTTAATCTATTGCTTCGGATGACCAGCACTATCTGTGGCTGTCCATAGAGTCTATATAATTCAAAGTTGTATCTGATTCGGAGGAGGAGGAAAGACCAAAGGCATGGAAACGATCTTCTCCCCAGATGGCGTATTCGAGCGTTACGATCGCCTATAGTAGACACTACAAGTGTAAAATGACACGCTTTTTCAATCTTAGGTGTTAAAGTTAATCGGAAGTAGTAACCCGGAAGTCTTACGACAAATTTTAACTCCCGGCATCATCTGTGCTTAGCTTTACGAGGTTAACCATTCATTGAAAAATATTAATGATCATGATGATTTTCATAAAGTATTTATTCCGTCATTGTAAGTAATTTTGAATTATTAAATAACTGACGACTTAAAATGTATTAGAGTTGTGGTGTATGTAACCGTTCGAGGCAATTTGTGGTTGATCCTGAAAAGCTAAGCACAAGCAGCGGTGGTTAAAATTCGTCGCAAGACTTCCAGGTTACTATTTTCCATTGATTTTTACGCCTGAGCTTTGAAAAGCTCGCCTTCCGAAATTATTATGCTTGTAGTGCTTACATAATAACACGTTCTTTCAATTTAAATTTCAACGAAACAAACAACAGAGGAAGTTGGAAAACTCCACAAACATTTTTCGATTCTATCCGAAAAATAACAAGCAGAGAAATTGAGAACTAATATAGGCAATCCTTACGCTTTACTTATGTTGCGATATTAATTTTCTTTATATTGTTTTAGGATCACTACCTATTGCAAATTATATATAACAGAAAATTCTTATAAATGGTAAAAATTACGCTTTAATTTAAGCATAAATCACAATAATAAAACTTTTTTAGAATATTAAGCCTGTTAACACATCGCCTCGTAAGCATAACATGGGCGGTGGAATACATAGGAAGTTTTTAAAATTTTTCCGGTTTTAAGAAGCTTATTTACATACCAGATTCGAGGGTGGAATCACGTCGGCGTGTGTACATCCAGTCTAATCGAGTGCAACTATTGCGGATTGTGACTTTGCTACTGTGTTTGTAGTAAAAACTTAGTTTAAAGTATCGTATTTCAAATAGTGCATTTAACTAATTACTGTATTAGTATTACAGTATTTCCTTTCAAGAAATTCGGCAAAATAACCTGGTTATCAACTCGGGCACCGTCCACCGGTGCGGCTTGAATTGCCCAACTCACTTTAATGTAAGTACTCCTTGTGGAATACAATCTTCCATCATATCTTAATATGAGGGAAGATGAAATGGACTTCGGAACAGACTCTTATTTGGAAAGACCTACCAAAGTGTCAACTCCAACAATACTTGGATTTGAAGAATCAGTTATCGAGCAACTAGAATATGCAACGACTGGTGGGTTATCCACCTCCTCTGCTATCCTCTTTACTCCTAATGGCCAAAATTCATTTCTAAAAAACCGATCCTGTTAATAACTCAGGTGTTAATAACGATTAAATAACTCAGTTAGCTGCCCTGAAAAAATCATCTCGTGTATACACAAACGTCAAGGAAAATTGATAATAAAAACAAATGACGTGGCGGCTGCAATCGAAATAAGTAAAATAACCAAGTTAAAGGGAATCCCAACCCAACCATACGTTTTTCCAGGAAATATCACAACGAGATTCCTTGAAGAAATTCCCACCGATCATTCAATTTGCTGCTTTAGCTTCAAAACTCTCATATTATAATCTATTTGTTCACAGTATTCGGAGATTCACCAAGAGGAAATCTTCAGAGTTGTCAAAAATATGCCTAATCACAATGTATGGCACGTGAATTCCAACTGAGGTTAAATTCTGGTACAATGTTGTACAGCCTACTCTCTTCTGTGATCACCCGAGTCAGTGTTCTAATTGATATAAATTTAACGACTCTGTGAAAAAATGTCCATCTAAATCTCAAATTTGCTCATACTGTGGCAGACAACATATTTTTTCAGAATGCGACAGCAAAGTACCACACTGTTCTAATTGCACAGGGAACCATCCAGTGAATACCCAGACTTTTCCATCTTGGATGAAAGAAGCTAAATTCCTCGAATTTAAATGCAAGAGACAGCTATCCTTCTTTGAAGCCAGGCGACAATTGAAATCTGAAAATTCCCAATCCACTTACGCAATTGAACATACCACAAAAGTGGAGAACATAAAGAATATTGTCAAGAGCGTCATATTCATACCCGAGGTTGTTACAACTTTTGACGTTAAACTTCAAGTATTCGGCAAACGTCAAGATATCCTGTTTGAAAAACTATTTACAGTAATAGACAACCTCACTTCTCGACTCGATACTTCAGTACCCGAATCACACCCATTAAAGAAGAAATTCCGTCTCTTGAGGGATCAAGATAATCATCTTCCGATACGGACTGCTCCCGAACCCGTGACCTCTCTCTCAACTAATTCAGCTATCGAACCAACTCCTCTGAACAACAAATCTTTTTCCACTTATCCACAACGTGAGATCACTACTCCAGTATCATCTCAAACATCAAGCGCAATAACACAGAATGCCTCATCTTAAAATAATACAATAAACCAATAAAATTCTACAATCTCGCCCAAACGTCTCTATCAGTGGTACCGTTGTGGAGGCGGAGTTATCGATCATGCCAACCTATCAAATCATCTATCTAAAGGTACCTCGTGTTGAATCAAGTTAGCATATCTTATATACCAGTGAATTGATGTTTAATTTTCGTAGTGGTAGTTACGCCTCAATACTCCAACACCAGAATTTTATTAGGGATAGAATTCGATGAACGTATACCACTAGTTGCTGTACTTGTGGAAGACCGGGAGAGCTGGTTTTAAGCTCACCGGGTTTTTTAGTGCTGAATGTGAGAGGTGTATTAACTTCACAGTCGTAATCGCTCCTGTGTTGCCATTAGCAGTCGAGTGTATGCTGCAGACGTTGTGTTTAATCGAGACGAGACTGAGTAGCAACAGTGTGAGGAGGTGGATAATGTCGCAGTCACAAGCAGCAAGTCAACTGTTCCATGTAGACCATCCATCGAGATAGGCGTTACCAGATCGAGGTGGGCTTAACTGCCTGTTCAAATCACGTTCGGAGGTCACCAATGTGGGGGCGGATTTATAGATCATGTCAACCTTCATTTATCAAAAGGTACCTCGTGATTGAGGCTTAGGCTGAGTTCAATTACGGAGTACCTGTCTGCGAAGCTGACACTTTTCACTCCTTCATCTATGATGGTGCCCGTGGGTGCCTGGAATAATGACGATATAGATAAAAAAAATATCAAGCCCTTGTTGGGAAATGGCATGAGTTGTAATAGTAGAATATCATTTTGTAGGGGATGACCCCTGGATTAGAGTTTGAAGTAAACTGAGCACTTCTTGGTTTTTTAGGATCTCCCGCAGTTCCTTCACGATTGAAACAAGCAACGATTGAGCTGAGGTAGCAGGCGTATCCTTAGGCTGGTGTCTTTTTCTACTGGGGCGGGCCTCGCACCCAGAGAAATTGGAAGTATGGCCCTTGCTGTAGTTGCAGCAGGTGGCAGGAGAATCTTTGCTCATTTTGCACTGGAATGAATAGTGCCCTTCGGCGCACTTCATGCATCTTGGTTCGGAAGTGCAGGTTCGCTGTGAGTGTCCGAATCGTTGACATCGGAAACACTGTAGCGGCCCTCGGCCGCCTCTAAATTTCTCCTCACTGATCGGAAAGTCCTTAATGAATTCGATGTGGTAGATCTTCATGTAGTTTGCTATCTCTGGTAGGATGATGAGGAAAAGTGGGAGTGGTCTATAAGCCCCGCCCACTCTCTTCATGAACTGAACAACTTTCAGGATTTCTAAATTCTGTTTCTCTAATCCTCATGATTGAATCAAGTTAGCATGTATGATATACCAGTGAATTGATGTTTAATAATCGTAGTGCTAGTTACGCCACATTTAAAA